TATATATATATATATATATAAAATTTGTAATAATTCTTCGACTGTAGCGCTCCTCGTGGAGAATGACGATACCACGTCGGCTACGTTCAAACGTGTGTTGCTTATTGCAATAAGATACCTTACTTCTCTTCTACTGGTAACGCTTTTGCTCCGCATTACTTTTACCATTGCTTGATAGAATTTTATACTTAAGATATCTAATATATAGCGACTTGCAAAAGAAACACTACGATAATTTTTTTTAAATTTATATGTGTTTAAATATTAGGTTGGGGAAGAAGTTATTTTATAAATATGTAAAAGGTCCTTTGTATTACAATATCTTCGTTAAAAATAAACGAAATTTAAATTTAAAGAAAAGGTTTTAAAGCTTGAAGTCTCTACTTTAGAAAGGTTACTATATTTTTGAATTTCTGTTGGTTTAGAAATTTTTACATATAAAACTATGAGATGAAAAAATAAAAAGTTTTCTTTTTACTTTGTGGGTCTTTCACGTGCCTAAAAAAAATTTGCGAAAATCCAGCATCTTCTTAGAGTTACAAAATAGACCCTAAGCATATTTATGTGCACGTGGGTATATTTATATGTGCATCTGCGAATATATGAAAATTTTAAATCCCCATTTCTTATTAACTTAGTTCGCTCAGATACAAGTCTTGTGACAGGTGGCGCTTGTTGTAATTTTTTCAAGAGGTAGCTTATATTGCTTGAGTTGAGTGCTTGGCAGTGCTTGGTTGAATGCAGTTGAATGCAATAATTCCTACGATGGCGGAGGGGCCAGAATTAAGTTTCTTCGACTTGCGAACGGTACACGATCATTTTGATCAAGCACTCGTAGAAAATGACGATATTGATTTAAAAGCATATCTGGAGGCCTACAACGAATTACATAAGTAAGTTGGATTCTTGACTTGATTTTTATTACGAACATATAACCTTATCGTGCACAGATGTCAAACGATAAGTTATCTGATTTATTACGATTGACGTTTGATGAGCAAACTAAGACATCTTTGCAACATATCAAAGTAAAACAAATAATTGAAAGCAATAACTCGATTAAGTAATTTTTTTTATAATATTGTATTAAAATTATGTACATTATATATATCATCTTATATTTCCCTTATCTAAAATTTAATAGATAACTAAAAGTTTTAATTAAATATATGTAACAAATAATGTCATATATAAAAACTGTAATTCTTTGATATTATTAATAGATTAAAATTTTTTCTTATCATTTCGTATTTGCTCCATTAACTCAACAAATTATATTATCTCTTATTAAAATCTGTGATAACAGATTTGAGATTACATTTATATAAGATTTGTATTTTGTAACGTGCTACGTGCGCATACAGATTTTTTCAGCTGATGGGCAGTGTCTTCAGTTTTGTCTCTTCTGATCTGAAACAAAAGATAGACGTCTTGATTGAATTGAAAAATAAAGACGCTCAGAATTATACGACTGTCAAATCCATGATTGAATATGAAAGAGAAAACAAACTTTTAGACAAAACCGAATTTGTCAATGGCGCACGTACTTTATTAAGACTTCATAGAGGCTTAGGTATTACATCACGAAATTTCATTTACCTCTTGATATTGTTTAGAAATTTGCATCTGATTCGTGTTATTTGGCTTTCTAGATTTTATTAGAGAATTTTTACAACAACTGGGTGATCTCGCAGACATTGAGAAAACAACTTCCTGTTGTCAAGATGCGTATAACAAAACTTTGGCCAAGCATCATCCATGGATGATCAGGAAAGCTGCAATAGTTGCAATGTACACTATGCCTAGTAGAGAGGTTTTATTCAAAAAGGTAATGGATTTAAAAAAATAAGATAATCAAAAGGCTCAGTAGAATAAATCAAGAAAATAAATTTTTTAAAATTAAAAAAATTGCCATATGAACCGACACTAGTTATAAGTGTGTATTTTTTAATTTATGATTATACTATGATTTATGATTATATAACAATGTACGATTCTAAATAAGTTGTTAAAAAATATACATTTATAACCAGTGTCGGTTCATATATTTTTTATTTTATTTTCTTGTAATGGATTAACAAAATCATTTTGGAGTCATCACCATGAAGTAGCTGATACTTTGAACAGGTTATTTTACATCCATTTAATTTTTAGGTTTGTGGTGAAAATGTTCAGCGGAATATAGATGTTTTACCCAAAATGTTGGAGGTGACTGCCGACGTGTTTAACCGCACTGACATCATTTATGAAACTTACCAATTGCATGCTCTACCATAAATGATCGTAGGAAGTAAAAATGATAGTTCATCTACTTTTGGCTCAAAGCACTACACGCAATCATTCTACATTTTCAAGACATTGTGATATTACTGCATTGCGATATTTATGCAATATTTTAGACTTAATATTCTTAATTAGTCTGTAATAAGTAAGCAGGAGCTTATTTTTTAGGGGGGATTTGTATTTCTTTGTAATTCTTTGTATAGGTATATACAATTATCGTACATACTGATAACGTACAAATAATGGCACACGTGTACAATAAGTATACTACATTATGTATTGTAACTTTGTCATTTTAATTTTTATGATTAGCATACATTATTGCGCGCGGAATTAGTTTTATTATGTTTAAACGTTGTTTCCAGCCAGGATTGATGATTTCGAATAGTACGCTATTATTTATAACTTATATTTCGAAGCGTTTATAAAAATTTATTATATTATATACTGAAAAAAAGGTATAGTAACATTTGTTTGCGTTTCCTTTTATTATTACTTTATCTAAAGTATCATTACTTATGATTACTCAGCAAGAACAGTTTTATTTTTTTTTTTTTGCGTACTTACTGCCATTCTTTTTCAAAAAGTAATAAAAATGTGATTAAAATACGAACTCTTAATACGATATGTATAATATCACTGTAATATAATTTTCTAATTCTAATGATGTTTTTAAATTAACGAAGTTAATGTTGTTGAAGTGACGTTTGATATTGTCGTTATATTGTTTGAGGGAATTAATACTGAGGCATCATCGAATAATATACCTGAAACAAATATAAAATATTGTAAAATGTGAAAGATGAATGTTTGATGCAACAAGATAGAATATAGAACTTTAATTCTGAAAGATGAAGATTAATTATTTATTTTGAATAAAGCACTATTGTTCAGTGTTTTGATGCTCGAAATAAAAATAATTAATCATTATTTTTCAGTATTAAATTAGCTAGTATTAAATTGGATTTCTGTAAAGGAGCTGAAATATGAGGAAACATAACAGTCATGTTATGAATTAGGATTTCAACTTTACCGGCGATACTAGCTGTAAGAAAACAGGCGGCGCTTCCAGTAACGAAGGCGCGCACAACGACGTTCATTACTTGCTCTTTCTTTTCTGGCACCAAAGACGAATACGCGCCAATCTGGATGCCAATCGAACTTGGATTTGCGAAACCGCAAATAGCGTATGTGGCTATCGCTTCCGATCTTCCGTATATCCGACCTTGCTTTATCAATTCACCCATCCTTTGATATGCGACTAATTCATTGATAATTGTTTTCAAGCCTATCAGCATTCCTACATCTTCGCAATGTTCCCAAGGAACGCCCATCACCCAACTTAGTGGCATAAAAACTTTTGCTAATATCATCTGCAAAACTACAATCCTAAAATTTGCCTTAAAAAATATATTTTTAGAAGCTGGAAAGGTCAGCTTCAAAAAACTTTTTACCTCGAGACTCAGTTGTTCGTAACCAACCAGACTACCGAACCAAGAGAGTATTCCATTTATAAATGCAATAAACGAAACAAAAGCTACGATATTTGCAATTATGCCCAAAACTATTGGGATTGCAGCTAATGCACCATTCGTCGCGGCATCCAAAATACTATTGTCCGATCTAATTACAATTCAAATTTTTACCATAGTTATTAGAATAAATAGGCTGAATGATAAGTAAAAGTGTCGGATTTATGAAGCACTTACGATTTTTCAAGCTTGATATTATCGGATTTTGTGAGACTTTGTTCAGTTTCTGGATAAAAAAGCTTGGAATAGGCTAAAGAAGTTGGTGCAGACATTATGGAAGCGGTTATTAAATGAGCCGGTTTAGCACCAAATGATATATAAGCGGCTAGTACCGTACCTGCAATGGGTAGACAAATTTGATTATAAATGGAAATTTAACGTTGCCTACATGTACTTATAAAATGTATGTAACAGAGACCAGAAACCGTGGAAAATCCCGAGCTTAATACAGCGTGCATCTCTGAGGAAGTCAATTGATTGAGGTACGGTTTAATTAGAAGAGGGGATTCGGACTAAAAGGCAAAATAAATCAGCTTTAAATTGAGACTAGAAATATTTTACAAGAATACAAACAAAAATTACACAAGTTTACAGCCAAAATTATTTTGAACTAGACAAGATGTTATAGATTTTTGCGTGCTGAAACTGGTGCCATAAGCCAAATTTCATTCACATTTCAAAGTGCAATTTAATGTGAAAAAATTACTTTTTATAATATTTGAAATTTTTTCGAAAAAAAAAAACATTATTTTAAAATTTTGATCAGAAATCATAAATATATTGTTTAACTCCTTTAAAATGAATTTTTTAAATTTCAGTATCTTTTATCTTAAAGTGTCTTTTCATAAAAACATTTCAAATATTGCAAAAAAATTTCTTTTTGCATGTTAAATCTCAATTTTTTGGAACGTTGATGAGTTTATCGTTTTTAGTATTTAAAATTTTATAAGAATCATCTTGTCTTTAAAATAATAAAAAGCATTTTTTGTAAACTAGTGTTATTGCTTTAATTATTAAAATACTATACTAATATTACCATTCCAATAAAAGGATTAGCAACAGCAACGAATGACTCACACAGCGATGTACCCATTATGGTTTGCAAAACCCATCCTAATTTCATAATAATCCATTGCATCGCACCAATATAGCACATGATTTGTACCATAAAGTTAAAGAAAAAAATCACCGGCAGCACCTAATAGAATATATATAGTGCTAATACTAATACTAATTTGTGACAATGTAAAATTTTCTAATGATAAAATTTATTGCTTTACATTTCTAAATAAATTATAGCAAATTAACTAACGGTAAAAGCAAAAACTCCTTTGCTAACTATATCTTCTGAGAATACAAACTTGGAGCCAGATTTAGCATAATCCAAGAAAGTGGTCACTTTGGCAGACACACATTGGAAAATACTACGACCAACAGGCCATCGAAGTGTAATAAGTCCAAATATAAATTGTAAAATCAATCCCCAAATGACAGGTTTCCAATTGACCTATATATATTTAACAAGATTGTTAAAATAATTAGAAAAAAATAAGAGGAGCTGCACACAGCTGAATTATTTTATGTTTCATTAAAAGGATCAAGTGATATGAACTCGCGCGATAATTGTTGCGCAAATTTATATATTAATAATTTGTTACAAAATTATTGTGTACATTTTCATCTCAGGTTTAAGTCCTCTTAAGCTTTATTCCATCAATGTAGATAAACTTTAATCTCGGTTTAACTTACTGTTGACCTTTTTCTAATTTGTAGAACTAGAAAAAGAAGAAGAGCAAATTGAACCAAGATTAAAATTAATCTAATTGGTGGAAACGGGCATTAGTGATCGAAATGTATGTGATTATCTTGTAATTAATTATCAATATATGAATTTGCTCAATAATTACCGCGCGAACTCACCGACATTTCTGTATAATATAATCTATTGATTTATTCTTGGAGCTTGAACCTGTTTTGTTATAATTTATACTTAATATTCGAATTCTTATTTTCTTTCATAAAAAACTAGAATACTATATATATATATATATCTTGAAAATTATACGTAATACAAAAACATTATAAACAAGAGATCCGCGTACATTAAGTATATTATACGATTTAATGAAGTGAGTTAATTCCAACGGAATTGGCGCCTATCCACATGCCTCTAATTAATAATTTTTTTCGACAACATTCGCATATATGTCATAATTATTGAGATGCGTTTAAAGTCCATGAATTAATTATTCTCTTGTAGATTTTCTTCAAGTGATTAAAATGTATCCAAAAAAATCCATTTTCAATCTACTTACGAATGATAGATATGATTGGAATTACAGATTTATAACTTCAAGATTTACTTACCTGTCCCGGATGTTTAGAAAACACCCAACCTAATCCTAATAAAACGACAACGCCAAGAATACTAATTAGCCTGTGTCTTGAATCCGCGGTGTCAATAATAAGAAAAGTAATGATGGCTATGAGTATAATTAAATAAATTACTATTCTTCCCCCACGTGTTCCATATCTGGAAAATTTTAATGTTGTGCATAAATTGCTCATAAATAATTTCTATTATATTCGAATAAAAAATAATGTTGATTTTTTACTTGGTATTTTGCAAGCGCTCCAAAGTATTTGTTGCTGGCCGGCAGCATTGTAAGATATATTTGCTAAGATATCGTTTAACAATCAAAAAATAAAATAAACCAAGATAAATTAGTCCTGTAAGTATAAGTAGTAAACCATAGCCGTCGCACCATTGAAAATCACAATTTTTCTCTTAAAAAAAAGAAATAGAAAAGGTATCGTTATATAATTTTGTAAATTTAACTATTTTATCAATCAATTAGTCAAGATTAAAAATTCTGTGGAAACAAATTAACTTACGTTTATTTTTCCAATATATACTCGCAAAGATTATATAGATTATGAAAAGAAGATTTAAAATTATTAAGCCAAATGTTTTAAAAACTCTTTGGTGTTTTGAAAGGTAAGCATGGATTGCGTTGCTGTAGGTCGTCCAAAAAAATTTTTTTTTATGATATGAATTTGCATTCTGTAAAAACAATACTATATGTTAATGTCACTTTGAATTAATAGCATGTTATATTATATAAATTTTTAACGCTAGTAAAGTTACTATACTGAGAGAAAAAAATCTCAGTAAACTTTAAAACGTTTTCATATCTCTTGAAACTGGTCCGATATATTCGAGGACTATCACTAGATAATGTCATTTCTCGCAAGTACAATTTAATCGAGTTTCCAATAGAACAAAAATTTATGTAACCGAAGTTCTGATATGTTATAATCATTTATATATGGCTTCTATATGCACTTATTAGTGCGACACGTAATTATATACATACTTTATTTATGTATAAAGGAAATTAATGAATATAATAATGACAGCATTATATTGACGTTTTAAGAATATTCCGACAATATTTTATAAAATAATTCAATCTTGTAAAATAATTTTGCAATATTATAGCGACATTTTATCAATTTGACTAAAAATCAAATGATAGTTGAACCATTGAAAGCATGAATCATAGTTTTTATTAATCAATCGTTTATTAATCATGTTTTATTTTATGAGAGAGACATCAGAAGGATGACGTTTTG